CTTTGTTAGCTTGCTAGAAATTTACATTTTCTTCTAAGCTAATTCAAAGACAGTGTGCTTCTACACATTACAAAGTCACTTAATTGCAACTGTTTGACTACTGAGTTAATTCACTAATGCACTAACTTCTAGATGTGATTTTTGGTTTAGATGTTCAAAATCACAATGAACCAGTCAAGTTTAAGCATGTGCTGCTTCCATCTGTTTTCCTTAAACTGTGTTAAGTTGTATGCTGATGGAAGAGATACGTAACAGCTATGAATGACTAGTCTTGCAATATGACTGTTAAATTTTTAGATTGGATTCTGTAGTGTACCACATGAATATGTGTGCAACCTCCCCAGGACAGCGGTAGGCCTTGTGGGTTAAAAAATAAGCAGATTGTAGGCTCTTAAGACTGGGGTTTGAATCAGCAGTTTGGTGGTTAGTTTTACTTTTTACATTCTTAGAAATAGAGAAGGCAACATGTTCTGAGGGTGGTTAGATATCCATAAATAAAAGAGATATCACCAGGTAAATAAGCAGATATAGTAAACTTCCCAAACAATTTTGAAGAATAGGAACAGCTTCCTAGCCAAAGGGTGAGAGTTCTGATAGCACTCCATGGTTTTATGTGAATGTTGGAGGGGCTGAAAGGATAGGGCAAAAGTCTCCTGCTGTGAAAACCTAAGGAATTCTTGGAATCAAGAGTAGTTAACCAAGAGAAAGCAGGTCTCTTCATTGGTCTCATCCCTGCCTTTGCCAGGGTCTTCAGGCAGGTCATCCACATAGCGTATGCAGTGTTAAGTTTCATTTTACCTTAAGAGACTCACAAATTACACAGATGAAAAATGTCAGTAGTTAAGACTACAAGGAGAATTTAGGAAGAATATAAAGGAGCAGATAAGTGCTCTAAATGAAGTTCTTCTGAATTAGGTCATCTGAGATGATTGTCAGTATAACGCTCCTGTTATAGTAAATTAATGAAGCAGTGTGAAGTGTACACTGTATCACTTGTCAAAAGGAAGGGATCATAGGTTTCACCCAGCAGACCTGAGCTGAGGGCAAGTGCACTTATGTCAAGATAATCTTATTCCCAGGCAAGCATAAGACTCATAGGAGACCAAAATTAATAAATCTATATATCTGAATTCTGTTGTTGATTCCTTGTGTTTCTGATGGTAAGAAAACCTCTCTTAGCCTCAGTTTCTACAGATGGAGGGTAAACTGTTTATAAATTTTTTTTGTTATGTTTGATTAATTAACTTCTGTGGAGTATTTTGCATATCACAAAAATATGTTTCTGTCTATAGACTCTAATGGAGTCTTTGGCAGTAATAGAGTGGTACTGCTGCAGATTAAGACCTCTTGGATTTGTTTTGGTTCCCCCTACCATCCTGGTGTTGTGAACATGAGCTCTCATAAGATATTTTACAGAGAGAAGCTGTACTTCAGTCTCATTTTCTTGCCTGCCCCCTTTAAATACACACAGACCCCTTGTAGCTGATTAATAGTGTGAAGGTTAAGTAAGGCTATGGTTCTGCCTCCTTCTTGCTTTATAGGAGGACAGTCTGCATCCAAAAAGCTACCTCTTACCGGAGTGAGCTGCTGCTCTGTAGCTTCATTTACTAGAGTCTGAACAGAAGCTGAGCAGTGATCTAGCTATTCTATTTAAATACTGAAATTACATTTTTAAGATGATTCACTTTTCTTTTTTGATAAAAATTAAGGGTTGAATTTGTTAAAATACTTTTTTGAAATGGGGGTCTGGTGTTCCGGTATGTAACTAAAATACTCTGTTTGCATTATTTAAAAATGGATCATTTTTAACTCAGCCCACTCCTCCCCGCTTCTACCTGACACATTAGTTTTAGACTTAGAATCAGATCCTTTATAAATTATGCTTCCAACTGACATTTTTATTTTGACAATGCTTTGTTATCAACAAATCCAGTTGGATATGCTTGGAACTGGTCCACATTATCTGCTCACCATCAAGTTTATCAATAAAACTATTTTCAGACTTCCTATGGGTCAAAAGTTGCTGGAAGTGTTTGTCTTTTATAAAAGGACCCTATTAAGAATTTATTTTTGTTCTAGTTTCACAATCCATAATACTTTCCAGTTTCCTTCTCTGTTACTATCTAGCATAAAGTCCATACTTCACTGCTGTAACATTTCAACATCTTTCCTTATGCTTAGAATGGGTTAACCCAGTCATGTTGAACCTCATCACAGAAATTGTTTTCGTTCAATAAACAAGCAAAGTGAGATTTTAAAAAATGAGATCATAATTGTTTATTGGCAGACCTGGATGAAACAAGAAGCTCTCCAAATGACAACTTGCAGCTCATTCAAATTGACTTAGTTCTATGTGGTTCTTGAAAGACTGTTCCTTATCTTAGGGAGTTTTAACCTTACATTGATTTAAAATGTTAAGAGCAACCTATACAAATCTTTACAGAAAAAAATGGATGAGACCTGTAATGACTCAAATTTGATTCCATGTGTAGACATACTACTGGAGAAAATGAGTGTTTGACAGCCATGGTAGGCTGTAAACTGATTAACAGATCATATGACTAATACAGCTGAGATGGAATAGAACTCGCATGAGAGAACATAAATCTGCTCCATTTAGCAGATCTCCCTGTGTTTCTAACAGTACAGCTTTTAATTCTCTACTGTGTTGTCAGAAACAGGGTTTATATAAATTAAGTGCTGAATTTTCAGCTATTTGTAACACTTTCAGTTATCTCTAATAAAAAGCATTGGTTAGACACTAGATAAAACACACAGACACATACACATATACGTACGTACATGCCTTGCTATGAAATAAACATTCTTCTACAGAGAAGCATTAAACCTTATTTAAAGTGAATGGAAATGTTCCAAATTCCAGTGATAACTTCATTATTTCTTGATTCTTTTTAGACTGAGACAGGAAACAAGCCTTCTGGCTTGTTTATACATTCTTGATTTGAAGTCATTTGAAGAATGTCCAAGTCATCTAAATGAAGTTTATATAAGAGGGCATTTAAAAATCTGTGGCTATGTGGGCAGAGGAGGTAGGCAATCACACTTCAAATCTTGTTCAATAAATGGTTACAAACATTCAGTGTAAGAGCTGAATGGTTAACAAGTGTTTCTACATCCAGAAACATGCTTTTGACATTGAAAAGTGTCCCAAGATGGTTCCTTTCTCTACTAATAATATGTGAAAACAAGGCAGCCTTGGCTCTAGTGAAAACTTCTCAATATTCTGAGAGATGTCATTTGCATTCCTTGAAAATTGCATGCAGTCTCATTGAGCATTCTCTTGCCTCCAAATATTGCTTGCTCTTAATTCACTCTTGATACTTTAAGCATGAGCCTGTAACAAAAAGAAGTGGCAAGGACTATGCTGATGTGTGTTAAAAATGTGATTCATGTCCCACAGATATTTCACCTTTTTCTAAAATAATAAATAGCCACTTTGGGAAGAGTGAAGAATGCTTTCTGTTGTTCTGCTCACCCTACATCCCACTTCTTTTATAACTAGAAAATAAATAAGTCTGTTTACATCCTGTTCCAGGATTGCAGAATCCAACTAGGCTTTTAACAGCTTTGCCTGTGCTCTATGCAGTACAGTGCATTTTGCTGCTGCAGTATTTATCAGAGGTTAGTGAATATTATTTACCATTACACAGTGTATATTTATGTAATGAATAAATACATAGAGTATTATAGTAAGGTCAATGAAGGAAAATTATGCAATGCAAAGACCAGATCTTGAGTTGTGTCAGTGGACCATGGTGTTACATAAAATGCCAGGATGTTTGCAGACAAGGACAGTTCATATTCTTTACTCCTCTTGACACCAGAGAGCAATCTTTAACCTTTTATATACCCTGTATCTAAACAGACTTCTTATTCTGCCAAAGAATTTTTAGCTGCTTTAGAAACCAAAACAACCATTTTAAGAACTTCTTTGATGGATTTTTCAGAGCTGGTTACCTTGTTTTTATTCCACAGCTATGAAACTGGGAGGTGAATAATATGCAATACAGAAGAATACGTTGACATGTTTAAAATGTTTTGACTACATTTCTATGGAATACAAGCTTTTGTTTTATGGAATAGAAGCTTCCAGATACCTCATGGAAGCTTTTTAGACTTCTTTTAGATCAAATAGTTTTCCTGTTGTTATGGCACCAGTTTATGTCCTGCAACTTGTAAACCATGTTTTATGTAGGTTTGGAGGGGATTTTTCTGTTATCTGAAAAATGTCAGATTTAATAACCTGTATGAGAATTTCCATTAGTTGTCATTACTTTCTGTTATGGTCTATGAGTTATTTTCTTTTTATTTCTTAAAGAGAAACTAAGAAGATAAGCCCACTTTTGAGTCCTGGCTTATCACAGCATGTTAAAGTCAAAGCAACTCTTTCACAAACCATAGTCATGTACATAATTCAATCTCAAGATAGAACAGCATTTCATTAATACAATACTCACTTGTACCTGAATCCTACCTTGCTCCAAAAGACAAAGCAAGAGAAAGCTTTGTACTTCTGTTTTACTAGCTGGTTACCATTTGTTACCCATCAGTATTTTTGATCACTGCCATATATCATATGGAACTAAACTGAAATGTCAGTACTCTGAAAGAAAGCAGAGAGCATTTAAACTGAATATCTCTGTTAAAGTCAGAGAATTAAACTGGATGAAGAAGCCTGGAAATAAGTATAACTTATTAATTGGTGTTAACAATATTGCTTACAACTGTTTTCAACTTCAATTATTCATGAAAAAATTTATTCAGACAATTATGGGGAATCATCTGTGTTTTCATTATATTCTAGTTTAAAAGTCATCAGTAATACTGAATTACAAGTTCGTTTGGCAGCCATTGTAATGTCGTTCCCTCCTTTTTAGACACTTCAAGAAGCCATGTGCAGCAGAGTGAGATTTTGCAAGACATACAAAACCTCTTCAGGATTTTGTTTTGAACAAGCAGATGCATGATTATTTTTTTATTTTTCTGTCGCATTATTCCAGAGCATCAGTAGTTTTTATGGCTGTAGTCTCCATTGAAACATTTGCCAATGATCCTTTTGGAGATACAAATACTTCTCTGGATCAAAAATTGTATTTTGTGGAAACAGCTTAAAATAAATTACACTCCATGGTTTCTGCCCTCTTCAAGAGCCTGATCTCATCTTATCTATATAAGATTTGCAAAGGAATGTTTACAAAGAAATTGGGAAACAGTACAAAAAGGAAAGAGAGTTGTCAGAGCAAAAAGGAACAAGACTTAACTCAGATTGGACAAACAAAAAATCCAAAATTTTCAAATACTTTAAAAAGCACCGTTAAAAAGATTGCCAAGTGCCCATCTGCTCGCAACTTGTCAACTGAAGAAGAGGAAAGCAATAGAGAATTTTCACTTTCTCCAACATTCAGTTACAGAGTTGCTATTGCCAATGGACTGCAAAGACATATTTTTGTAGCAAACACTAATAATGATGATTTAGTTCAAGACCTGTCTTCAAATGATAGCTCATGTTCTGAGTCATTAAGTGAAGTAAAAACTAATAGCAAGAAAAACGAATACTTATCCCACACAATGCCTGTGAGACGCAACAGGAAAAGCTTGAGCAGCCTCGCGGCCTCTGATGGGAGTTCGGATGGAGAACGCACTTTACACACGCTGAAGCTGGGAGCCCTACGAAAACTAAGGAAGTGGAAAAAGAGCCAAGAATGTGTCTCATCAGACTCAGAGCTAAGTTCTTGGAGGAAAACATGGGGATTAAGAAGTAAATCTTTGGACAGAACTGGCCGTCACCAGAAATCAAATACCCTTGAACCTGGCTTTAGTTCGACAGGTTGTATTAGCCAAACCCACGATGTTATGGAAATGATCTTTAAAGAGCTTCAGGGAATAAGTCAAATTGAAACAGAACTCTCTGAATTAAGAGGGCATGTTAATGCTCTGAAACAATCAATTGATGAAATTTCTAGTAGTGTAGAAGTTGTGCAAAATGAAATTGAACAATTGCGAACTGGATTTGTGCAGTCCAGAAGAGAAACACGGGACATACATGACTACATTAAGCAGATAGGCCATCCAGGAAACAAAGCAAGTCTTAGGTTTCTAAATGTGCCTGAAGAGCGGCTTGAAAAAGCTGAAAGCATAGTTTACAAAATATTAATGGAAAAAATGGGATTCTCAGAGGCACAAAGCATTATTAAAATTGAGTTTGCCCAAAGGCTTGGGCAGCAAAGAGACTGTCCAAATGCAAAGCCAAGACCCATTCTTGTTTACTTTGAGTCATCACAACAGAGAGATCTGATTTTAAAAAAGTCTTATAAACTTAAGGGAACTGGTATTGGAATTTCCACAGATATATTTTCCCATGAAATAAAAGATAAAAAAGAAAGAGGACTGCCTTCTTCTCAGACATATGAAAGCATGGATATGAAACTTTTAACTGTGGAGACAAAATCTAAAATGCATGACTGGGAGTCACCTGACAGTGATAAAGACTTGGAATCAGATATAAATAAGAACAGTTATGCAAAAATATCTAAATCAGCACTTCAGATAAAAACAAGCACTACAAAAGGGACTACAGAGTCCCCAAACACTGAAGACCTTGACAGAACTACTGACAATAGCACCTTTTCACATAGAAGAAGTTATGACAATCAGTCACCAGAATTTGACACTATGGAAAAACAATCAAAGACTTATTATTCAGATGTGACTCCTTTATGGCATTTACAGAATGACTTTGCAACACCAAAGCTTAGCCGTTCAGAATCAGACTTCTCAAAATTGTGTCAGTCTTACTCTGAGGATTTTTCAGAAAGCCAGTATTTCAGCAGAACAAATGGCGGTTCATTGCTGTCTTCCTCTGATCGAGAACTTTGGCAGCGAAAGCAAGATGATTCTCTAAACTGGTATGGCAGTTCCCAGGAGCAGACTTTTGCCCAAGACATGCAACAGTATCCAGAGCAAAATGAAGCAGGGAACATAGAAGGTAGTGGAGTAAGCAATGGAATAATCTGTGTATCTGGAGACATAAACCATTATGATGATAGTCAGCATTCTTTACAGGATGATCTCTCCCCATGGAAAAACTGGAATCAGTTGGAACAAGGGGCAGATTTGGGCCTAGACTCATCCACGCAGGAAGTTTTTGTGTATGACATGAGCAGCCCTTCAGATCAACAGACAGATTTTGGAAAGGGTCAAAGTTCTGACCTCCAGTATGATACTGAAAGCTATGATTTCACTCTAGATGGTACTTCACCATCGTGTCCAGGCCTTGACAGCGAAACACAAAGTCAGTGGACTGGTCAATATGATGATTATCAGGAAACAAATTCTATCTCCTCTTATCAGAATCAAAACAGATTGCCTATGATGTACCGAAGTCAAAGTGAACTACCAAGTGATGACTCAGAGGAAACCGCCCCTAAATCATGGCACAGCAGATTAAGCATAGACCTTTCTGATAAGACTTTCAGCTTTCCTAAATTTGGATCTACACTTCAGCGTGCTAAGTCCGCTTTAGAAGTAGTCTGGAATAAAAGTACACAAAGTTTAAGCGGGTATGAAGACAGCGGATCCTCTTTTATGGGAAGGTTTAGAACATTATCTCAGTCTACTGCAAATGAATCAAGTACAACACTTGATTCTGATGTTTATGCTGAGCCTTATTGCTACAAAGCAGAGTATGAGGAAGAATTAATTGAGCCATCTGGTGAGAATGAAACAGACTATGTAGAAGTAATGGAACAAGTCCTTGCTAAACTAGAAAATAGAACTAATAGTAGTGAAACTAGTGAGCAGGTCCAAGAGTTTGAATTGGACCAGTCTTTGTATGAAACTCCATATGAAATGCTACCAGAGGAACAATATGACGCACAGTTTGACAGTGTGATCAGTGAAGATATATTGGAAGTTGAAGGTGACATGGCTCCTGAAGTAGAAATAAGGGAGGATGAAAATCAGAATGTTCCAGAGATGATTACTGAAGTTACTGAAATTCCAAAGAAGAAAAGAATACGACCCTCATTTAAGGAAGCTGCTTTAAAAGCATACAAGAAACAAATGAGTGATTTGGAGGAGAAGATCCTTGCTGGAGGTAATAGTTTTTTAATACTGTCTTTTAAATAAAATATTGTTCTCATTAGAGTTGGATATTGATTTTTGTATGGTACATTTTCTTGCACACATTGAATTCAGCAGCAAAAATTCTGCTTATGTCTGGTTTTGTTTAGAGGGTGGAATACTTCTGTAGAAGTCAAAAGATTAAATTTCACAACTTTGTATTGAAAAAGTTTTCTGAATATGTTTAGTCAGACATGCTTCATGTGTTTCTTTGAATTTCCATAATTTCAAAATTAAATTTCACAAGATCTAAGTCTTAAAAAAAAAGAACTAAATAGTACACTGTACTTGGCTTTCTCCTAGTTTTATAAATGTATTTATAAGAGTAATACAGAGTGTTCAGATACTACACTCTTGCTTTCTTCAACGGTTTTTAAGACCTGGTTGGTTCATTCATCCTAATGGGCAGTGTTCTCTACCTTCTGTGCAACCCATAACTGGAAATGTACTTACAAGAGTGAAAGTCTAAACTGATTTTATGTCTGTTCTTACTTGGATTCTGTCCTTATTTGTACTCCCAACAAGCTCTCAGAGAAGTAGTCAGTCCCCAAAATGGGATGAGAAGGGTGTGGAAGAAAGAGTGTAAATGGTATCATACATGTATGAAGAAGTTCCTTTAGTAAGGAACTAAATTCACAGGAGAGTTTGGCACTGATTTTTTCATTATTTTTATTTTTGTATTATCAGACTTCAAAGCAGACAGTCATCTATATACAACTTAAATAATATGCAAAATAATTACTAGTAATAGACAAAGTAATATACAAATACAGTGATATTCAATATAAAAATTAACTGTAATTCTAATAACATTTGTTATAATATTGCATGTACATTTAATTGGGAGCATCATAATAACTGCAGCAAGCCAGATGGTAATTGTCACCTTGACTGAATCTTTCCTTTATCTGCCTTGGAAAAATTATCATCTGATACGTTCATTTTAAAGATGAAAAACCGTGCCTTTAGCCAAAGATTTTATTCAATAATAATGAGCTTGAACTGCTATGGTGTTTCTTTTGTACATGAACAGCTACTTTTACAGTAAATATATAGTCATCTTGAAAGTCAGTTACAAAAGGATTTAAATATTGATATTAGTAGTGTTTACTTTAAGGTCTATTTTATATTTAAAAAATGACACTGGATTGTATAGCTGTATTTTGCAGGTGTTTTTCTACAGTACTCTGTTAGATACCAGGTGGTGTGTGCATGCAGTAACAGCTATCAATAACTTAGGATTTTTATGACACTTTCCTGATTTTTTGAGGCATGGGAGAAGGGAACGACATTCATTTTACCTAGTCATTGTACAATAGGAATATAATGGTCGGAGGACTTAATTAAAAAAAGCACACAAGAAAGACCCCAAATTTTGAAACCCAAATTGATTCTACTATTTAAAGTCTGTGCATCTGTGTACAGTGGTAGATAACAGGTTATTAGAAAATGCGGACTGACTTTGGTACATCCCATGCAATCCTTTCAAATGTATGTTCTTCTTTTAACCCAGCAGATGAAAGACTTCTTTCAGTCTCTTCATCTATTGACATTTCTTCTTCTGAATAGCTGAAACATTTCTTATATTCTTATATTTACAGAGAATCCATCTGACAGCAAGACCAGTTTATGAAAATGTGTTCTTGGGTGTAGCCTATGTGGCAAAGTGTCTGCATTGTTACCAGATGTCATGCTAGGACCTCCACTTGTGTTTCCAAAAATAAAATAATATAGACTATTATATTATAAAAGAGAAGGAAAATAAAGGAGAAAGGAAATACATCAGGACATTAAGGGGAATTTACAAATGAGCTGTTACAACACACTATTTCTCAGCTTATTCTGAAGGTGCATTCACTCTTGAGTAGCAGTTCTGTTTCCTCTTCGCACTGCGTTTTCCATGCCATCAAGGAATAGCATACATGTTTCAGTCAGGGATTCTGCTTCAGCAGTCACCAGCTGGTTTGTTACAAACAGATCTTCAGGTCCTGTAACACACCTAGCAATACCCATTAGCAATACCCGTAGTTTTTCATGTTTTTTTATCTAATGAATGAATACAATATTCTTATTTTAATGTCTGCAGAACACCTAACAATTCTTCAGAATTTAAAATTTGCAAAATATATATTTTTAGCTGGAGTAGTCTACTCAAAAATATATTACCTGAAAGCTATTTCTGCTGAGTGACAGGTAGTACTATTGAAGCAAATCCTTCTTTATTTTACTTTCAGCTTACTCTCAGTGAGCTGGATATTGGATATAATAGGCAGTCTATTCACAGATAATGAAATCCACAGGTGGGACATCTGTCCTTGGAGATAGTCAAAATCCCTCTGGACATGGTCCTGGGCAACCTGCTCTGGGTGCCCTGATTTGAGCAGGGTTCTTGGACAAGGCCTCAGCTGTTCTGTGATAAGGAAATGCATTTTTGAATACTTTGCATGCAGCTTTTGAAGAAGGATGTCTTCTTAATGTCAATTTGGCTGCTAGAGCAAAACACCTTCAATTTCTGTTTATTACTTGAATGGCACACAGTCTTGGAAAAAACACCTTGTAAATCAGTTCTTAAAGGAGTTCTTCAAAACTCCCAAACCATATTTTGTAACTTCTCGTTTTTGACAGCCTGCCTTCTCTTCTTTATGTGTGTAATCAGGCATGTCCAGAGAACATTTAGTTTATCATTTAAGCAAATAGTAGTTTAAGGTATTCAATCTTCATTTTAATATTTGCAGGAGTGATAATAACTTTTTTAGAGAAGTGACTAATAGTTATTCTCTAGGGTTTACATGACTTTTATGAACATTTTTTAAATTTTTTTACTCTCTTACCCCTGGAACTGATTCACAGTCAACTTCCTATTTCTTACTTTTAGATGGAAAAGTACTAGAAAGAGAACAAGTTCTTTGAATTAATCTTCATTCTATAACTAAAACATAACCTATTCTTCAATGAATTGTTTCATCCTTCCATGTAAGCAGGAGTTGTTAAACAATCTGTCCAAGCAGAGATAGAGCTGTATAATACAGTAGTGTTAGCTCTCCAATTTAATACAGAAGAAGGGTTTAGAATTATATGATTTTCATTCTAGTAAGGCATAAGGTAAGGTCAATAAATCTTTGGTGCATAAATAATTTGCTAGTGCACAAGAGTCAAATAATATAGTCCTATTCTCTGTCACTAGCTGGAGTATAAAATACACTCAAGGCTGATTGCTTATGTATTATTTATTAAAAAATGTTTTTGGAGGCATACTGGAAGGACTAGGTTATACAAATGAGAGGCAGCATGAGCAGCACATGAGTAATCCTCTGATTTAAAGTTCTGTAAGGGTATAAAGGCATTGCATGGATGCATATGTATTAATGAAGGGATTGATGGCTTGATAAACAAAGAAATGCTGCCAAGTTGTTTGTTCCTTTAACTGTAATTGAGAGCACTTTTATCCATTGTTCTAGTCCTCATTTGTTATTTTCTAGCTTTCTTTTCCCCTAGTGGCTTCTTTCATTCTGTCCCTATCTTACCTTTTACAGGTGCCTTAGCATAACCATGATTTTCTGTCCTATGCCTCTGGAAAAGATTCCAGAGTTGCATGCACTCTTCTCAGTTGCTTTCAGTGATAACATAGGCTCTTCTATGAATGGTAATTTGTGAGCAGTATCTTCTTGATCCAGTTGTTGAAGATCTTGGTCATGATTTGATATGTCAGATTTTAAAAATCTTTCCGATTTTAAAATGCCTTTGGTCTGAATTTTCAGACACAGAATAAGATGTAGATTGTTTATGATGTCAAGATGGGTGAACTCATCTAATTCCACATAGGTGGAGTGACAACTCAAGAGGACAGGGAACAGGGACTGGATTTGCCTCTTTAACAGCGGAGGGAAGTGTTTCTGTTGTTTTATAGGAAGGATATTTGTATTTCACTTTGTAGTGTCTGTCTGAAGAACAGAATTATGCAATTAGTCTTTGCATCATTGGAAAAGAATAGTCCAGACATAAGCACTCATAGTTAATAAAAGGTAGCAGCAGGAACAAGCCCCAAGATTTTTTGTTCTGTTTCAAAACATTGGAGCCACAGTATTTAGTGATAACAGTTTTTTTTGTTTTTCCCAAATCTCATTTATTTATGGTTTGTTTGGGTTTTTTTCATAAGAGTGACAAATTACTTCATCAATATAAGGACTGATTGTGAATTCCATGTGGCTGATATAGTTAATCTGAAATGTTTAAGGAAAATAAATATATATTCACCTAATATATCATCTATAAAGAGATGGATTTGGGGACAGAATACTTTCCAACAGAAGGTGATTAATCTATTTCTCTTCTCTTCATACATAAATAATGTAAAAAGGTAGATTCCAAAGAGTTCTCCCCTGTGTCTTTAACTCTTTTTTTTGGAGGAGGACAGGGAGGTGGTGTAATAAGAAGTTGTAGTTGTACAGGATGAGAGGACACAAAATAAATTTTCAGATGATGTGGATAGAAAGTGATAAATAAGCTCTTCCTGCCCCCATACTGGTTAGCCACAATTCCTTTTTCACATGTGTATGAGTGCACTTGCAAAATCTTCCACTAATATTCCAGGAGGTTAAACAGTGTTCTAAAGAATTATTAACCACTCAGTGAATTCAATCAGGATGGTGCTGATGAACCAAGGTATATTGATTCGACTCAGCTTCATATGCTTGTTTCATGCACAGGAGAGTGTATGCATTGTTTTCTTGCTACTGGTTTAACTGGAGTCAGGCATAAGTATTTATACACATCCCTTCCTATTTCTCTTCTGTCCTTTGATGGAGAGAAGTAATATCAGAGACTTAAAACAGAAAATGACAGTCTGTCCAGTTTGAGATTAATAGATTTGTAGAAAGGTTGCTTTTGAAAAATTATGGCAGGAAATCTAATCAGTTAGTCATAAAGATGATACATCCATCTTCTTGTCTGTGAAGAAAAAGCAAGTAATTATAT